GAGAGGGAGAAGCAGGCTTCCCGCTGAGCAGGGAGCCCGATGCGGGGCTTGATCCCAGGACCCTGGGATCATGACCTGAGCCGAAGGCAGACTGAGCCACCCAGGTGCCCCCCCATGTTGTCTTTCTAACTCAAGTTACTATCTTTGGCTTGTTTAACTTTGATAATAGTAGATAATGTTTTTATGCAGTGGATTACCTTTCTCTAGTATAAATGAAATATTTGGGGCCGGAATTTCTGATTGGAGTTAAAACAACAGAGACATCTAACACATTATATATCCATTTAAAAAAGAGGAGATCCTATTTCAGTCTTTAAAAAATTAGTTTTTCTGCATATAAAATGATACAGGTTCCTTGCCGAAAAATTTGAAAATACAAGGACATATATGGAACAAAATAACCATTAATCGTATTCTGCAGGAAAGATTTGGGGGTTTCTTCTTCCAAACATTGCGTATCTGTGTATTTTAAAAAATTGCATATGGATGTTTAGAAGGAAGAAAGGTGTTCTGAAGGGTTTGAGATGTGAAGTGACTTCTATTTCCAGCCGATACAAAATGAACAGTGTTTACTGGCAAAAGCACGCTCAGCCCTGGCTTGGTTGGCCCTTTTGCAGATGGTCGCATTTATATAAATACAGATGCAACCATTCTTGGAAAAGATCAAAGACTCATTTCAGGTTTTTAGCTTTCGAAGTTTTTTGTTGTTATTTTTAACACCTAGAGTCACTTGTAAGACCTCCGAGTTTTGACAACATACAAATAAAATGAATTCCTGATACTATTTCTTTGGATGCACAGCAGCGTTTCCTGAGGGGGGGAGGCTTGTAGGGGCCCTGGCAGGTGATAACAGCAATGAGCATATTTACTGAGAGGCAGTTTTGCTGGGCAGAACGGCGTCCTGGTGGAGCCTCGTGGCCAGTCCCAGCCTCTCACAGATCCAGCCCCGGGGACCCGGTGGACCTCAGTCTCTTCACTATCCATCTGGAAACAAGAAGTAGTTGATGTGACATGGTGGGTTGTCTGGGCTTGACACTGGCCTGGCTTTGGAAGACCCCGCTTTGGTCTGCTCAGCGATGCACCGTCCCTTCCGTCTGGGACGTCCCGTGCCTGATGTAGGGTCTCCCCGCCCCACCTCCCCCAGCACTGCCACACAGGGGGTGTGGAAGGAAGCTCCCCGAGCACAGCCAGCTTTTCTGGGTCACCCTTGTTCTCCAGAGCGGAGGATGGGGCTGGGCTTGTGCGCGGGGCTCAGCAAATACTTGGGGGGTGATTTCTTGTTTCCTTCTGGCTGACGAGGTGACTCATTTCTGAATTGGCTTCCGGCTACTTCTCCGGGGCTGTTCCCTGGGCAGTTTGGGCATGTGCGTTTTCTGCAGTAGGCTGGCATTTTGGAACTCTGGGACCTGTTGCTTTTACAGAAGAGGACCGGCCACGAGCAGGGGTGCGGGGCTGGTTCTCCTGCAGGGCACATCGTGGGGACAGGTGCTGACAGTTCTCAGAGAGGGCCCCTTCGGTAAGGGGTGCTGTCTGTGCCGCCTTGGGTCACCTGGCTGTTGGCTGGTGGTCTTCCTCGACTACCCCCGCAGGGGGCAGCCTCTGGCCTCCGGTACTCCCCCCACAGTCAGGCGGGAGAGAGGAAGGAGGGTACAGAATTCAGGGAGGCACCGGCCCCCATTCCCACTGCTCGGTGAGGTTTGGGGCCTGATGGGGGGGATGTTGGGGGGCCCCTGTGACATTTGACTTCGACGTGAGCGTCTCTGAACAGACGGTAAAGGCAGAGACCGTTGGGAAGCCTTTGCCAGG